GAAAAACTAAAATATGTAGGTAGAATTTACACATTTATATACACCTAGGTAGGTAATAAAGAATCGATGAGTTATTGAAATCGTAAAGTAGATCAACTTGAAAGTATCTAGTATCACTCTGATTCAACTTCACTGGTCATTGTTTTATTCAACGTCCCAATGACAGTATCATTTTGTTATCCCATTTCAATACTGTATCTCGCAATATTGTTTTGTTCAAGTATTGTAGATTTTCCGCGGGGATTGTGGAAGTGATAAGATTCAAAAAAGTTTTTTTTATATCTGTAAGCAATATTTACAAATCGCGTAATACTTGCTCATTGTTAAACTTTTATTGCATTTATTTTTATGTAACGTTCTTTCTAATTTGTTTGTAAAGTTTAATAAAAATCTACCATCTATCTCGCCTACAGATAAAAGTATTTTCAGCACAGCCTTGAAGTAATATCGGATATTTTTCACAGTTTTTTTACAGCTTTCTATTGCACACTAGCTGGCCATGACTGACCTGTATCAACGTTTTTCGCAGTGGGTACAGCAGGAAACAATTGAACATTTAATGCATCTTTTGTTTTACGCATTTTAGATCAGACTACCCTTGAAAGCTTAATACAATAAGGGGAGTCGTTCTGTGGATGCGTGACAAACATTTGACATTTGAGGTTGTGCCGTCAATACTAAACTGGCATTCAAAACGGTTGTCGAAAACTGAAAAATGTTAACGAAAGAACTCATTGAGGTATCGATAATAGGAATTATTATCATTAGCAAAAATATGCCTTAGTATCACAGTGTGTCGAAATAAAGCGTTTTCGTCCAATTTATGACAAATATATTTCAGACGGAAATTATACAACCACTGGACAAAGACTGGACTAAGGAAATTTGTTCAAAAAACATCGGTCAGACCAAACGATTCGTGTAGTTTTGGAAATTGGCAGAGCTATCCTTTGAGGTGTCCAAATGATTATACTAAAAGTTTTCGACTGTGACTTTTCAAGTTTTTGCGTGCATCTCTAAACTATTAACGATATCTTTATAATGCCTTATACATTAATAATCTACATTAAATTTATAACAAATTATTTTATACACACTTTTACTCTAAGGTAATCTTAGTTGATAAAAATAAACAAATACATTTTCAAAAAATACAAGTAGTCTGAACGACTTGATGGATTTTGACATATGAGGTGTTTATAGACTTGTTTTGACAGTGCGAGTGAAATGGCGTATTTTAAACTACAACTTTATAGCAGTATCTATTTCACGGATACCTGAGGAGCCTTTCTCTAGTTATACTAACATTATCCAGGTAAAAAATCAGATCAACACAGATTTTTAAAGCTCCTCATGGTAGCTGCTGTGCTCTTGTATTTAGTCTTCTGCTAGCGCGGCTGTTTCGGTACCAAAAAGGTTTTACTGGTTTCAATACTGATGTAAAATTGCAATAGCAAAAATTTGTTTTGTATCTCTTCTACCATATTTTTTTATTCATATGGTTAAGTGTAAGAATAGCTTTATCTAAACTTCGCCATAATGAATCGCTCTTACATAGGTTGGTTAATAAAAACGATATTATTAGGTATTATTAAAAAATAACGGCCTAGAGACCAAACGGCTTGATACATTTAGATATTTGAGGTGTCCTTAGATTTGTATTAATAGCACAATTAAAAATTAATTCTTTTCAGTTACTGCAGCCTGGCTATAAACCTTTTTTAAAAATGTACTTTTAAATAAGATACCCTAAAAAATTGATCCTATAATAAACATGTATGATGCCATAATTTGTTGTAAAGAAGCTACTGATGAAGATAATTAATTTAAACCAGAAGTGGGTCATATTAAACGTTCTATATTCCATTTTCTACTTCATATGTTTTAGTTCACCATTTCTTGGTATTAAACGTTTTCCAACTTCTATACACACACACAACTACTGAATTTCATCACATTTGTATTGTAGCTAATGTGAAATGCTGACTAAGATTTTATTTCTAACGCAAACTGTTACATGTTGCGAGAGGTCGGGGTAGAATGTGCAATACTGTGCACTACTTAGTATTGTGAGGACGATTTACAACTAGGTCACATTCCTCTTTTATCGAGTGTTTCAGTAATAACTAGTAACCCCATATTCTCATCCTCATATTTTTACTATACATACCTACATGACCGAATACCCCCACCCCAGCATTATAAACTAGTTAGAAATAATAATAATAAATGGTGTTTTAAACCATATTTCTTAAAGTCATTATGGCATCAAAAGTATTGCTAAAAGAATCGATGTGGCCATTTACAATCTACTAATATAACTTATTGATATACATAGACATGCTAGACAAATACTGTATGGTAGAGTTAAGAGAACAATGTCATATTATATAGTCTCAAAGATGAATCATTTTTATTAAGATAGATTTGAAGCTTCAATCAAAGTAGGTTATTTTATCTAGGGCTTAGTTGCGTATTATTATCGATTGTAACTGCCAATTTCAACAAAAAATGATGTTAATATGTGAAGTTAACCCAGTTATACTAGTATGTCGGCATTAATCAAACACGTAGTATCAGTAAGCTTAAACCAAATATTAAAATTTCATGTTTATACAGTAGCTTTATTTAACAAAGGTTCGAAATAAAGATATGTACATACATATTTCCAGATATTTAAATTTTGCGTTAGATTTTTTCCATAACCGTATTGAGGAAACCGTTTGTATGAAGTATACTGCCTCTCTGTCTACCTTAAGAGCAATATAAACACAAGAAATGGAACTGAAACAGATCATCATAAATCTAAACGAGAAGCAACATTGATAGAATATTTTTCAAGGCATATCTGAACTTATTATTTTCTCTAATTCATTCACCTTCTATAAGAATTTTTTGTTTATTCTGACGCAGATCTGTTCTATAACGCTTGCGCAAACTATCAGTATTTTATGTTGAATTCAGTAGTGTTTCGTAAATCTGATTAAATTCGTTGATTTTTTTAATACCTCTGATATTTCGTTCCGCCTACTTCAATTTAATAAACCTACAAACAGCCTGACTAAGCCGGACTAGATATATTATTTTCAATATTTATTAGAATTAGCATTTTGTAAAGTGTGACCTAAAAGCTTCGCTTTGTATTGTAACTGACACTGATCTCACAATTCGTAGCAGCCACAATAAAATGTTTTTAATAAATCCTCAATTTTATGTTCTACTTCGTTGTTTTATACTGATTGGAGCAATTGAGAAAACATTTGAAACTGGATACAAGTAAGTGTTCATAGATTTGATGTTTTGAGATTTAAGAGACAAAATCTTCATCAGCAGAAGTATCCTTGGACTAGCAAGAATTGTTTTGGTTTCATTATGAATCAAGGGCTCTAAAATCAATATGAATACATAAATAGTTGACCATCAAGTCCTACGAGCTTCAAAGTTTACAATAGTTACAGGATGTCAAGTTATTCGAAATCACTGGTACTAGTTGGATTGTATTTGACATCTAACATGTGGAAAATATTGAATAACAGTTTATTTATTTGAAATGTAGTAGGTACGTAATGAAATGGTAAGACTGTTTTCAGATAGCAAACAAGACAAGACAAGAAAAAAATGGGGGTGCGGTACGGTTTAAATTATCATACAATTTCTGACGCCCAACGTGTTACGTGTTTTCTACTTTTCGTGTCTCTTGATTTGATTTATAGTAGCGTTGAACAGGCATAAGAGGTAGGTAATAATATACTATAGGATAATGGTTATTCTACCTTAATTTTTCTCTTCTCTCCTGTTTCTTTTCTTATGCGGAATAGTTTGACAACAATCAATTGGTCGAATATACACAAAGTACTCAATGTGTGACTTGAACTTTGAAGTCCAATAATACTGACATATTCAGAGGCATATCTTTTTTTTTTCATTTGAGACCATAACCCAAGCGCTAAAACTAGTTAATCACCAATACTATACGAAATTTGGCGCCCAACGTTGAGCAAATATTGAATTTTTAGAGACAAACATCTTAATCAGCAGAAGTATTCTTGGACTAACAAGAATTGATTTGGTTTCATTATGAATCAAGGGCACTAAAATCAATATGAATACATAAATAGTTGACCTCCATTTCATCAAGTCCTTACCGCTTCAAAATTTACAATAGTTACAAGATGTCAAGTTATTCGAAATTACTGGTACTAGTTGGACTGTATTTGGCATCTAACTTGTGGAACATGTTGAGAAAATATTTATTTCTTTGAAATGTAATAGGTACCTAATGAAATGACCTAATTTTATTTAATCCAAGTCAGAAATATTTATTGTCCTATTATTTTCCTTGAAATGGTAAGACTGTTTTCAGATAGCAAACAAGACACCATTGATCTCAAGAAAAAAATTGGGGTGTTGGGTTTAAATTATTGTACTATTTCTGGCGCCCAACGTGGAACATTGAATTACAGTGTTTTCTAGTTTTCGTGTCTCTTGATTTGATTTATAGCGTTGAACAGTCATTAGAGGTAGATAATATTATACTACAGGATAATGGTTATTCTACCTTAATTTTTCTTTTCTCTCCTGTTTCTTTTCTTATGCGGAATAGTATGACAACAATTAATTGGTCGAATATACACCAAGTACTCAAAATGCGAGTTGAACTTTAAAGTCCAATATAATATTCAGGGGCATATCGTTTTTTTTTCATTTGAGACCTTTCGTCTTGATTCAAGCCCTAAAACTAGTTCATCACCAATTCTACGCATTTGGCGCCCAACGTTGAGAATTTTTATCTTCTTGAAATGTGCTTTACGAATTGACTTGTGCTTTCCTTAAAATGTTAGAAGCACTTTTTCAGATGGAATTAGGTCAACAAAAATATTGAATTTTTAGAGACCCACCTTCGATGGGGTTGTTTTTGCGCGATTATGATTTTTTCTGATAGATTTTCTCTGGTTTCACAGACTGGGATACCAGTGAGTCACGTGTACTCGCGGACGAAACTAAAGAGAGAGAAGAGTGATCAAATAAAAAACGTGCGGTTTTTTGAACATGGAAAATTTGAGGTACTCACCTTCAAGTTTCATTCCGACGTCGAGGCACTTCTGGAACCTGCAGAAGGGGCACCTCTTCCTCTGCGTCTTGTCGATGTGACAGCTGCGTTCCGCGACGCACGTGTACACTTTCTTGTTTTGCACGGTGCGCTTGAAGAATCCCTTGCAGGACTCGCACGTGAGCAGTCCATAGTGGTACCCGGACACTTTGTCTCCGCACACAGGGCACAACTCCTCGATGCCGTCCTTGGTATCGGGCATGTCTCCAGAAGGCGTTATGGGCGCGATGCCGGGCATGGAATACCCGCCGCCCGGACCGCCCATCTCCAGCCCGGGAAGACCACCGGTACCACCTGCGGAAAAGAGGTAGGACGTGTCAAAAGCGGCAGACATCGATTGGGACATCATCATGGACTGCTGCTGGTGATGTTGGGGTTGCATGCCGCCCTGTTGACAGCTGTTGTTGTAGATGGGCGGCGAGCTGTACTGATGGGGAGGCAAAGGGCTACCGGCGCCCGAATCCGTGCCGCCTCCGTTGCCGAAGGGTGGCATGTTCAGAGACATCAACTGCGAATGATGATTCTCCATGTCCAGTAACATTTCACGCAAACACGAAGGGCGGTGTACTACCTAAACGTCATCCTCACACCAACCACAGTCACACGCACCAAAGGGTATATATCCAAATGTAAGGGCACTACGCGGCGACGAGAACTACCGATGACAGACACGAACGAGACCGGCGAAGTACGCTGCAGTCCATGCGGTGGTAGTGTCGGCGTACTGTCACAGGCACTACTACGGGTGTTCGTTAGCAAACTGACCAAGAGTGTCGGACTGCGTGGAGTGAGAGCCTCGCGACAGTGCTTGGTTTGGTGGAGGCGACACGACGGCGCGCACTGGCAACGTCGCAGCACGCCGTCGCCAGACGGGAGCAGGGGGGCATAATGGAAAATGATTAGGAGCCCATGTAATAAGTGAAAGTGAGTCGGGACTAGTGACCTACTTTCGAATGAACCAGGTCTATGTTAGTGCGGCGTTGCCGATGTGCGCGCTATTGCTACATGCCCACCGCTGGCGCTGCTCGCCGCGTCGCCCGCAGAGAAAAACACGACAAACAGGTGGCATAGAAGATGAGAGGCGGAAAATGTATCATAGCAGAATTGCTGACTGTTGGGATAGGTTCAGATAACATCAACAACAACGGCTATGCTTGTTTCAAAACGGCGCACTGGGACTACAATAGCCGTCCGACCCAAACGGATCCGATGTGGTTTTACCAATAACTACATTTCTGTGAAGTATTTAACATTGAGCTTGCAGCAGCTTATTGTCAAACATCTGGATATCTGTCACCTTTTTCACTTATACAGGGTGCGGCAGAGAGGACGGACGTTTTTGGGATGGGTAGTACTCTCCGCCTCCGTCTATTTGAGAGGTGGGGAGGGTGCCGTTTGACTCGTGAGATCCTAGCATTATTTTACCAGTTGTCGTTATGGAGCCTTGGACGGTGGAGCACCGCGTTTTCGCCTATGATTGTTTCGTCCGAAATAATGAGTAAGTCATCGTCATACAGCGTGTGTTTCGTCGCCACTTCAACATTCATCGGAATAGAGCTGTTCCCTCTCGAAACACCATCCTTCGTTGGGTTGAATCACTTCGCACGCGTGGCGAACTGATCAACAGAAGACCAAGAGGAGCGCCGCGAATAGTTCGAACTCCTGAAAATGTTGAACGCGTTCGACAGGTCTTTCTTCGCAGTCCGACTCGATCTGCCCGAAACATGCTGCTGCATTTCGCCTTAGTGATCGTTCGGTAAGGCGAATTTTGCATATGGATCTCCGCTTTCACCCCTACAAATTGGCCATTGTGCAACAGTTACAGCCCGGAGATTATGCACAACGAATGAACTTCGCACGTGAGATGGAAGCACTGATCGATCAAAATGAGAACCTCATTTTGTTTATGAGTGACTTCTTTGAAGACGGTAATGGTCGTGATGTTACCGTGAACTCAGAGCGCTACGTCGACATGATCACCAACTTATTTCTCCCTGAATTACGACGGCGACATGTTCCAATCCGACGTGTGTGGTTCCAGCAGGATGGGGCGACCGCCCACACAGCCCGCGCATCCATGGACGTTATTCGCCCTCTCTTCCCTGGTCGCCTTATTTCCAGTATTGGCGATGTTCATTGGCCTCCTCGGTCCTAGGATTTATGCATATGCGATTTTTTCTTATGGGGACACCTCAAGGCTAGAGTATACGCGAACAAGCCCCGAGCTCTGGACGAATTGAAGGGCGAAATTCGCGTGTAAGTCGCCCAAGTTGAGAGAGCGATGTTGGAGAGAGTCTACGCGAACTTCGAAGAACGCCTCGAGCACTGCATCAACGATTTCGGCCACCACATTTCCTTGTGAACCTGATTCCATCAATAAATTTGTTTTCGAGTAAAAATTAACTATTTTCTGATTTTTTAAAACCGTCCATCCTCTCTGCCGCACCCTGTATATCAGGAGCCCAGAAGGTGCAAAAATATGTCTTCACTTTCATTAAAGAATTTTTAGAGCATGAGAAGAGATATTTAAGTAGATCACTGGAGACAAGCAGTTTCGTTCAATTGCCGATTCCATCTTATATAACATCTTACACCGACATTTGTCGAGCAAGTAGTGTAAGCTTTTAGTCAGGGTTACAGAAAGTATCCAATAGAAGAAAATACTGGAGGCTTTCGTGCTTTTGGATTTCAACACATGAGAGATGTTTAATTTTACAACGAACTAGGTAAACTACAACAGTATGGACTCAAGCAAATCCATTGTGGTTTTCACAACAGCTGCATGTCTATCGCAGGGGAGTGGCAAGAAGTAGCTTTTTGTAAAAGTGTATCTGCCCCATAATATTTTGAAGAGCTGAGGGTGGCAAAATTTCCCAGGGGGTGCCGAAATCCTCAAAAGTACATAAAAGTTCTACTAACCCCAATACCAAGAGATTAAAGTTAACCTTTTTGTGGCCAGTAGATTTTTTGCACCGAATGCTTGCTTTATACTGAATTGGTTCTTTCACGAAGCTAAGGTTCCGGACCATTGGGAACGTTATTAAAATAGGTTAGGGTAACAGGTAAGACCAAATTGAGAATGGGTGGATATACCTAAAAGTCATCAGTGAGACACGTCACAACTATAATGTAGGTAGTATAAGAGTTAACAGCCTTCCAATGGATATCAGATTCACACCATTCCCTTTGGACGATGACAACAGCAAATACTTATTCCGACAGGATACGGATGTAGTTAAAGCCAAACATGATTTCCATACATATTTGGAATGCTCTGCAGTTCGTACCTACTCATTAGGAGAATAGAGATAGAAAAAACTAGAAAATCTCAAAATTCACTGTGACCATTCGATTGGGAGTTCAAAAAATATACCTTCCTTGCAGCTAAGAAAAAACAGCCGCCATAAAAGGTGCAAGAACTCCCCAATTGACTGCTTTCAGAAAAAAGAAGAATGTTTATACTATATACTATGATTCACAAGTCCACACAAGATTCTCTCATTCACACATACCTAAAATGGAATCAAAGCTGAGTTATTTATTTACCAGACCATTAAAAAATATTTACCTTGAATAAAAACCGTAATAAATAAGATACTTATAAACAATATCCAAAAATTCACACTATGCGTGCCTTCAAGGATAATTCGTGGCTTACTGAAAGCACGTATGCCACAATTGAAAAATAAACAAAACGCATATTTTTAAAAACTGTACTACAATTCTCTAAACGTTATCATCTATATTTATAAATGAAATATGGAGTCAAGTAGTCTGACTCGGTGCTTTCCACGTATTAATGCTCGTATTAGATGAGTTTTTTTGAACTAGAAATGTCTGTTCTCTAACAAATTTTTCATAGCGCCGTACAGTTATCAGGCAGACAGTTCAAATCTCGACTCACTCAAAAATTCCCTCAACCACAATTTCGAAAATTGACATTTTTGAAAGGGATGCAAAAGCAGTAAAAGTAAGTCACAGCTTTCTCATTAGTGACCAAAACATGCGAAGGAAAATTACTTGAAATGTCCGAGAAATCATCGTATCTACCGTATGTATCACCTATCAATAGCATGGCTGGGCAAACGAAGCAATTCAGGCATATAATGAACATACGCTAACTTGTAATGTAAAATTATTATAATAAAGGCTTTGATACTTTCCACACAATAGAGATTGTTAAATTTTCGTAGCGACAATAACACCTACACGATCGTGAAATGATTTGTTGTGGACGGAGAACGGAAAGTGAGTTGGGTGATTGTAAAATAAATAATGCTCCGTATGCGTATGTTGCCACAGCAAATTGAAAATTGAGACTGATACACCTATATTTCACTAAGCAATGAAATAATTTCGAATTTCGCCGATATTTGCTAAACCAGTCTAGTAATATCGTTCAACCGCAGGCGGTCAATCGTGGACCGCTGTTACGTGCTACTTGACTCATCAGCATGCTCTAGGCTTCGTCTCAGGTAGGACAAAGGACGAAAGCTAAGAAATTATCCTCTATCCATAGCATAAGGTCTATCGAAATAAAACACAAGTGCCATCTATCAGCAGAATCTGTCTGAGAGGTGGTGGTTAAAATGTTAGCACTAGGGTATCTCTGTGATTTCCGTTTATTCAATGAAAGGGTGTGCGGCAGATCTCAACACGTGGAGCAAAACTGTTATTGGTACCAAACGAAGTTGAAAGCTTGATCCTATCATCTTTGCAACATTATATATTCATGTCTTTTCGAAGATTAAAGGTTTAAATTGGTTAAAGATGGAATCACAGTTTGTTTATGCTATGAAGGTGTTTGTCCTTAAAGTAGTTCGCACAAAAAAGCCACCGTACATTTTAGAAAAGCTAGTACCAAGAGGTAAAATTAATCAGAGAAATCTCAGACACAACCTAAATTTTGTGATGCCAGTCCACTACACAGCCCTTTACCAGAAAAGCTTCACATTTCAGCTGATGGGATATTAATAGTTCAAGAGTGCATTTGTAAAATTTTCTTTTTCATATTAATCTGTTGGCTCGTGCGTGCGTGTTGTCAACACGTTATCTATTCAATTCATTTACTTACATTACTGTTTCTTCTTATTATTATTATTACTATTGTTTGTTTTTGTATCGAGTTTAACTATGTTACCCTTTCGCACAGAGTGAGGTTAAGTGTAAGAGTAGCCATTTGGCTAAACTTCGCCACACTGATGTATGTCACATTTATTATTATTATTATTCAGGAGCTTTAAAGTTAATTCTTCTTATTCTACTGCAGCATGGCGAGAGTGCGATCGACAGTTTGTGGTGGCTACTCGGTGTTTGCTTACTTTCTTATCACAATCCACACATGACGTCTAATTAAAACCTTGTTCGTACAGCTGTCATCAATTTGTCAGTGCTCTGCTGCTACACTATAAAGACGGAATTCACACGGCCGAATCCCAGACAAAGTACCCGACCACTGTACGAACAAACCTTAAATGAAAATGTAACAATATACAGAGTGTTTGAGATAAGTTCAGGACCAGTTTGTATCAATCGTTATTTTCATGTTCAACGCTACTCCCGACTTCGACACCCAAAGAATTCAACGGCTACTCAGGGGAAACAAAAATCATCTGCACTTTGGAATTGTATAGAATGTCACTTTGGCATAAACCACTGCAATCGGACTTTGACGCTGTTTGTTTTGTCGCAAACTCATAGGAAAGGAACAAGCCGCGATGATCATTTTAGCCATGTATTTTTACGAAAACTGGCGTATACAGGGGGTGCTTTGAGGTTAAAACCCACCCCCAAAACCTCATGGCTCAATACGTTTTTCTTTATACAATAGTGTGACTCGCTAAAAGGCTGGATACGCCAGTCCGGCAGAGTTACTACGTAAAAATCCAA